TTTCAATGCCTGTTTTATTATGTATGTATGGTTCTTATTTCTGTAGTTAAAGAACTCTAGAAAGCATTGATTAGATGTCTCGTGTTTATGGAGAAATGAGCCCTAATGTTGAAGTGAACTGTACAATGAGGTCATGTAGTAGTGCTTCCAGTTCTGCCAAGCCGTTTACTGGTTCTCTTTCCTAAGCTACAGTGGAAATGGCTTACCGGTTAAGACTTCTGTGGTATATATAACACTGGCTGTGCTAAACAAGTTCCTCATGTCCCAATTTAAAATGTTTTTTTCATCATATTTTGTATCAATCAGCAGAGTATAGTTAAAGCTTGTCTTGATGTTGCACTCTTGCAAATGTCTTCAATTCAATGAAAAAATGTAAAAATGTTCAGCTAGACCCTTCAAGTTTTTCCTTTGCTTTCCTAAGCCTGGGGGGAAACACCACTGTTTGAGTTGTATAAAAAATGTTACCACATTCCTATGACCCAGAATTAATAGCCTTTTTCTCACTGAGCGATGAACATGTGCTGCCTGAACTAAGAGCTTTGTAATGCTCAGTAAGCAACAGATCCCTGGTGGGTGTTAGCTGTGTTTGTGCCCTGAATGAATTTAAGTTCCTCTCTGTGTCTTCTACGTCACCCCAGAAGAAGGGGGAAAACACCATGTTATAAAATATGAAAATTGTCATGACTTTTTCAGACTGAATATTTAAACATTGTAAAATTACTAGCAACCTACACTGAAGAGCAGATTAGGGGAAAAATTGAATTTCTGTTTTTGGCGGTAATTCCATGCTTCTTAGTTTTTAATATGATTTGTAACAAGCGAAGCCTCATTAAATTGATAGTTCCATCATTTGAAGAAATAAGAGAAGCTGTGGTTAGATGATAAACTCTAGGGAATCTAGGTGGTTTGGAGAATTTCATTTGGTTTTTCATCGTAGCTAGTTGCTGTCAGTGAGGGTTAACTTACGGTGAAATAACTCGGGTTTAAATAGCTGGGTGCCAGGAATTACTTTTACTTGATGTATGTAGACTCTCCTTAATCCATTACTTTTAAAGGTGGTGAAAGCGTTGACTATTTTCACTCGAGGAGACAAAGATCTTTTGGTATAGAGATCTTTGGACTTATTAGGTAGGATAGAGGACCAAGACTATAGTAAAATTAAAATGACTTGTTGGCTTTAGTGTGCTTATATTTATTTCATTTACATTTACTTTTAAGACTATCAGCAAAAGTGCAAGGTTACCTTCAGCAATTATTTTGTAACTTAAATCGGTACCACTGCCTGACACCAGGAAATGCTGACACATCTTGAAAATCAGTATTAAACAGATGCCAACAAGAAACCCACTACTGTTTTTGGTAACCTATTTGAGGAGAACCTAATAGGCAACCTTTGTCCTCATGTATTTTCCTCCAACATACAAGCACTGGTGAAACATCCCTATTTAGATATGTTAGGCAGCACTTACGATTCCTCATTTGTGAGAACCACCCTTCAGTAAAACAAAAGGGGCGTGGGTGGGAATCCAGGCTACTTGGTTAAACATGTTTTTGACAAATAAGCCCAGAAAAGGTGAAATGTTTTGTTATAAAACTGTATTAAGCATGGCCTAGGTATGAGGTGTATGATCTGTATAGTATGTTCCATCAAAAGTATTTATTACTAGTGCTTTAAACTCCGGAGTAAACATTCATTTAAAATGGAGTTCACTGGGCAGAATTCCCCTTTAACATAGATAGGAATAATCTTTATCAGAGATTTAGGACACAGTTTTGCTAACTGGTAAAAAAACAAATGTAAATATGTAAGAATGTTTATTTGTTGCACATAACTTTTTGGTATAAAATAAATGTAGAAGTTACCTGTGGAAGTTGCTGCCATCATTCTTATACTGCAGTATTACATTTTAAAAGAGAAGTTGAAGTGATAAAATTATTTGAAAGTGACCTCATTTCTACAGATATACTGAGTTGACACCTTTTCTCTTAAATTATATGTAACTTACAGAAGACACAAGCAGAATTCTTATATATTACAAGTTCTTGGAATTTCTATAGGTTTATGATATATGTGGTTGCTAAGAATTAATGAAAAGATGTTACTGCTTTCAGTTCTGTAAGCCCATAGAATGTACTTATCAGCTGTTTTTCTACTTTAGCTTACCTTGAATACTTCACTTTTAGTTTTCTTAAAAAGTAACATCTGCAAGAAAGATGAATCCATTTGACACACAGTTTAGCTGTGTTTTACTGCATAGAACAAATGTATTTGGTGTTAGAGCTGTAGGATTTAAGAAATGGGTCTTAACAGATACATTATTTGTGTTGATCATTGAAATGCTCTTTGCAAGGATGCATTCCCTTTTACATTAAAAGGCAACCTGGGAATTACAAAGTCTGAAAATCAAATTCAAAATTTACCCATTTCCTTTTATCCAATTTGGGCATTCATTTAAGAAAATAGAAGATAAAGGATGACTAAAAGCCTCAAAGGCAAATGAACCTTAAAACTCTGAATAGAAGTGTTGATGATAAGGCATCAAAAGTGAATGGGACATGTAGGTTGGAGAAAATAAAAACACTTGGATTCAAGAATTGAAATGTATCAAGAATGTATCTAAACGTAATTATCTGCCTGCAGGAAAACTCAAGAACAGCATATCCTACCTATAATATGGGGGCATCCCACTAATGAAAATTATGTTCTTCCATGTCTCAGAAAGTGGACAGTCTGAACAATAAACCATCTTAAACTATGAAAGTAGAAATAACAAAAGGGTGGAGCACCAGACCAACAAAGCAGCCACGCATTCATTTATTAGTAAACATTTCCTACCAAGAAGTCACTGTGCTGGGTCTCATAACCGTACCATGAGTAGGTAGGTATGTCTTCCACTGCATATTACGGGGGGATTGGTGCAAAGCTGTTTCATGTGAGTTAGCCTCTTGCACTTGTCTGAGCAGTTCTGGGAGAGGTCACCACTGAAATTCCCAGAGCCATAATTCTCTTACCAGGGTGTTGGACAATATTTAGGGGAAAAAAGACTCAAATCAAAGAGCTAGCCATCTCCCCATCATGCCTCAGAGTTGAGTCCAGAACACTATCAGTTAGGAGGTTTGTGGGTCTTTAAAAAAACCTAATCAATCTCTTTGTAGCACTGAGATTGTACTTACATGTTAAGTTAAATAGATTTATTTTAAAAAATAAGCAAATTGGTTATTAACTAGCTTATTAACTATTGGAATTGACTGAACTTCTTAAATTTTAAGTCAACACATTTTTTAAAATGTGTAAGTAAAACATTGTAGTAATAGAATTATATACTCAGCTGTGATTTCCAAGTACTACTGTTGAGTGGAAAACTCTGGAAGGTAAAAGTACAGATATGAGAAAAGGCTCTTCTATAGTGGGCATTACCATGTGGAAAATGACCCATGTACAAAAAAAAATATTTCATAGTTCCAGAGATACTGGTTACATCTACTGCTTGTATCAAATTTAGAAAATGAAGTGTGAGATTGCATGAGCCTGTCAAGCAGCATAGTAATAAAGGCAAGGCTTGCTGGGGGATACGTGAGAATAGTGCTTGTTTGTAGGTATTCTGGTTAACGATAAGAAATGTACTTTATAGATTAACATGTAGTATAAATATGCAGTATGGCTGACTGGAAAAAAGTCAGTGTCCAATAAAGCTATAAACTCCGCTCTATGATATTTATAAAGAAGAAATGGGCCTTACCCCTAATTTGTAAAACAGTGTATCTGTTACGTATATTTTTTAATGCTTGTCAACTAAAGAGTTTCCTCTCCTTAATATCATTCCTTGACATTAAACCAGAACACAAAATGATTCCTTCATGCAAAATTAACTGGAAAAAAGAAATATGTAACCCCTAGAATTCCTAATTATTTGGACTGACTACACTTTCATTTCTTAAAAGTGGTCTATAGATGGCCACTAAAATGAGGTCAACTCACCTTTACTGTCTCTGTCATGGAGCTTGGAAAGGGAGGCTGAAAGAGGGCGTACATTCACACATGTGGAATCAACCACAAGGGAAGTTAATCAAATTCTGTATTAACAACTGTATGGGTTCATGGTTATCCATTTGATTGGACACCAGTAAGGAGTATTTTTCCAAAGCATTCAGCTTTAAACCAGGATAGGTGAATACTGAAATTTTAGGAATAATGTCCCTTACTTGCTCTAATGGAGCCTGTGAAGAGGAGAAATGATTCCTTAAGGAAAGACCATCCTCTGGAAGCCAGGAATACTATTAATCTTCGAACAACAACGCAGGGATTGGGGTGTCAACTTCCTGTGCTGTTGAAAATCCACATCTAGCTACAGTTAGCCCTCTCCCTGCCTGTGCAATCCTAAGTGCAGAGTTGATCCTTGGGCAACACAGGTCTGAACTGCATGGTCAACATAAACTGGACCCGTGCCATTCAAACCTGTGGTGGTCAAGGGTCAACTGTACTTGTCCACAGACCCGGCCTGTTTAAAGAGGTCTCATGATCAGTGGAATCAGTTATGATGAGGTCAAAGGGCTTATAGGCCCATCTCCACTTCTGTCAAAACTAGACTATGACTGAGGGTAGAACAATGTCGTGGAAGAACTGGTAACCTCTGATCTCCCTATTCAGACACTTCTCAGCTCTTAACTGTGTGGAAACCAGCACACAGACCTTGGTCCTTATTCCATCACATCACTTTTTGTAAATTTGTTGGGACTTCGGCTCATCTGTGGAGTTTTATTTACTCTCACTCAGTAAAGGCTGGCCTGGTTTGGCACATGAGCTGGGCGGCCCTAGGCTGCGGGGCTATTCCTTTGGACACACACAGTCTACCCAGCAATTCTGAACATGCTATGAGTGTTGAGGCAAAGGTTTCTCAAAAGTCCATACATGGTTAAGGCTATGTAGAGAGACTGACACACAAAAATAATTTCAGATGCTTTTCAGCAGTAAAAATCACTTTTGAGCCAGCTCTGAATTCCCATATTGCAAAAGCCTTTATTTTCACCTCTCATGTTCCCTTCTAGCAAATTACTACAAAATTCAGACAGGAAACTTTCCGGTCTGCCACCCACGGTCCAGGAGGCACTCTGTTGGCTGTAGAAGTCGTCCCTTGGGAAGGATGGGCTGGCAGCTGGTGTCAGTGAAGAGGTTGTTCTTAATTTACAAACAGGCTCTTTCTCACAGTGTGTGACCTTGCAGCTGACGGGTGGTACCCGGTTTCATTGGCAAGTTTCCAGTATCTTTCTCGCAAAAGGAATGCTGCACTTTTTGGTTGTCTCTGGCGAGTGAAGATCCCCTTATTATTCCCTAGTACTCTCAGTGGTGCTAAAAAGAAGGAAAAAGGTATTTCAGATGATTGCTGATGAGTCAAACTGGAACCAAGCTGTAGCCAAGATAGGCACTAAAGAGAAATTCTTAGAGTTTAAGGTTGTTTGGTCTGATGTGGCTGCTTGATGGGTTGAAGGTTTAATTACTACTGCTCCCCCAAAACACCTCAGCTCCCTGGTGTTTTAATTTCTCATCTTTTTACTTGCAAACTAAGGTTTAAAATAGTAGGATACCCAGCAGCCTGGTAACTGGAGGGGGCAGAGACAAAAGTTACCCTCGGAAAGATGACTCTCCTAGCGGGAGCTAGAGTCCTGACCAGGCCAAGGTGCCTAGGTGGGATCTACTAGTAAAGGTGTAAGTCCTCTCGGGTGAACCTCCAGCTGGGTTCCCACTCGTGGTGGCCAGTCTCTGAGCTGAAGCTGGGAAGGAAGCAAAGCTGGCAACAGCCTGTGAGGCCTGTGCCCTCAGCCCACCTCTCCACCCCTTCATGGAAACCACAGCATCCGTAAAACCAAAAGTAGGTCTTTCCCACCAACAAGTTCAAGACAATGGTAACTTCTTCCATGATAAGTAAATACCAGGCACTGTCGCAAGCACTTCATCAAGTGGAATCCCTAAAAACCTGCAAGGTGACAGGCATGATCCCCATTTAATGACCAGGTAACTTGGCCAAGGTCACAAAGCTAATTTGTCACTGCACAAAGCCAGTTAAGCTATTCAGGAAGCTAGATTACCTTCCAGGATTATTTCCAGAAGCCACTGATTTCATTTATCAAGTGGAATAGGGGCTCATGTTCTCATTCTTTCTTCTATCTCTTTCCAGTCTAATTTTTAAACTTTAACCTTCCAAAGACCTGTATTCTAATTCCCACTACCAAATCCTTCCCACCCCCCCAAACTGCCATCCTAAGTTTATGGTATATCAATTAACTAGTTATCTGCAGTCACCCTCATCTGTCCCCATTTGAGAAGAGTACAGATGGTATTCTCTCTGAAGACTTTTAAACACTCCCACACTCAAAATGCTTGCTTTCTCCTGTATTCAGTGAACCGGCCTTGTACAAGTGAATAATAATTGTACATTTCTCAGGCTTTGTGCACTACTCTGGAATGAGCGTATCCCCACAACGTCCACTTTTTCCTCATACTGTTATGAAACACAAGGCAAGTTAGCCATTCTGCCTCAAGATAGTAGGCTTTCCCATTTGCTTTTTTACTATAAGATGATTGGGGAAGCAGGCAAGCCGTTACTGCTTGCTAAGTGCAACTTAACTTTTCCTAGGTAATGCTCTACGTAGCCTACATTGGTGAGAGAAGCTCCCCGCCTCCCTTGTTTCCAGTGTTCTTACAACCAAATGTCCTGACCTGAAAGACCAACCTGAAAAAATTAGAAATGGTACATTCCATAAACCAAAATACCACTTACACTGGTCAGTCCTAAAATCAGCAAAATTCCAGATGAGCTCTCCAACCACATAGTCTTTGCGTTTTTGATCCAGAACCAAATGATACTGCTCTAGCAGAACTTTCTGGTACTCTTCACTGAACATCAGAGGTGGATCCTGAAATTCAAGGCAAAGGGAGAATGTAAGAGCCAGAACTGGCAGAATTGTAAATGTCAAATAAAAATAAGATCGATGTGATGGTGACCGAAATATCTGTCCTCAGGGTGGGCCGCAGCAATGGCAGGACTAGCTGGTGCTGGTGCTGGTGCAGAGACGCGGGCAGGGTATGGTGTAGCCCAGAGTCAAAAAAGGATTTTTTTTTTTAAACCTTAATTAGTAACTACTTTATTTATAAATATGATACTTGCTTTATCTTAGTTTTCCATCTCTATTCACTACACTGAAAGTAAAAATGTCTCTGAATAATATATTTAAAGCTCAAGTCTTAAGTAGCTGCCACTGTATAATTTGAGAACTAGTGTGACTCAGATTTAAGTCACCCCAGACTCATCTGTATCTGCTCTGGGTAAGTAGCCGCTGCTCAGCACCAAATATGGCAAGCATTAGAGAGAAAGTGGCAAACAAGAAAGAAAAGTGTCCCTGACATCGTCACAGGCTTCACAACCCAGCAAGAAAGACACAAACTGAAGTGTTGTAAGGGTGAAGAAGGAGAGTGCAAAGCAGGAACTGGGGGCTCAGCAGAAGGAGCGCATTGAGATGTGGCCACGGAAAGCTTCCCTGAAGAAACGTTTAAGCTGAGGCCTGCCAGGTGAGGAGCAGGCCATCTACAGCAGCAGCACGAGACACCACTGCGCACTCGTCCCACACTTGGTGAAGAGCTCCTATGCGTTCTATACTAAGATAGAAGATATAGATGTTCCTGGGTCTGAGTTTTCATCTCATGGGAATTGGGGGAAGCTCAACTTGGAGGCTGAAGGGTGTGGGAGTCATTTGTGAGAGGACAAAACGCTATTGGCTTTGCCGTTTTTTTCCAATGAGGATTAAAATGTTACATAAGATGTGCTGAAAATATAAATGTACAATTAAGCCAAGCTTTGTTCCATTTTCGAAGTCAAATTTGAGGTCACGATGTAGGTTTTGGGTTTTTTTGTTTGTTTTTTTGTTTTTAAAGATTTTATGCATTTACTTTTAGAGAGAGGGAAGGAGGGAGAAAGGGAGAGAAACATCAATGTGTGGTTGCTTCTTATGCACTGCCCACCCACACTGGGGACCTGGCCTGTAGCCCAGGCATGTGCCCCAGTGGGAGGCGAACCGACGACTCTTTGTTTGCAGGCTCGCACTCAATCCAGAGCCACACTAGCCAGGTAGCTTTTGTTTTAATGGCAACGACCCTACATTATCTAATACTAGTCACACATGGCTATTTACATTTAAAACTAAATTAAACTAAATCAATTCAGTCAGACTAGTCACATTTCAAGTTTCCAACAGCCGTGTGTGGCTAACGGTTAACCTTTTGGACAGTGCAGATACAGAACATTTCCATCACTGCAAAAGCTTTTAGCAGACAGCACTAACCTAGACTCTTTCAGAGTTTCTTAAAAATTTCAAGTTGGCCACCTTTTCAAAGAAGGAGAACAAACGTGCATATACATTGTCTTCATAAGCTATCTTCTCTTCTTTACCGGTTTGCAGAAGAGGCATTCTGTGTAAGCAGGATGAATTTAAGGGTGTGAACAGAATATAGTTCATGTGGGCAGCTGAACAGAGTACCAAGAATCAGCATATTAAGAAATGTGTGTCAACAGAGAATCCCAGGAGCTGTGACAGGCAGGTGTGAGGTGGCTGGGGTAGAGATGAAGAGTTGGCTGTGGTTCAAGAATCCATGTGAAAAAAAATCCCAAGACAAAGCAGCGTATCTTTGACGAGGAAATGGGCAAAACAATGAGAAAAAAAGCTAGTGATTAAAACTTGCTCCAAGATTTCAGTCACTCCTTTAACAAATACTGTTCAGCATGCACTGTGTGCCGGCCACTGCTGGATGCTTGGGAGACACCAATAAATGGGACTCAGTCTCTCTTCTAGAGCCCACAGTCTGGTCAATGAGAAAGCCAAAGAAATAATGATAGTGCACAGTAGGGAGTATGCAGACAGAGACCAAGCACAGGGAAGAGATTTCTCTGGCTGGGCAGAACGGGTAAAATTCACCTAAGAGGGGATATCTAAGCTGAGACTTGCACATGGTATAAGATCCATTCACTGGGGATTGTGGTGCCAACAAGGGCATTCCAGGCAGGAGGCCAATAAGCTAATAAAGAGGCTGCCCCTGAGGGCCCTGGCTGGTGGCTCAGTTGGTTGGAGTGTTGTCCCATACACCAGAATTTGTGGTTTGGGGTTCAGTTCCCAGTCAGGGCATATACCTAAGATTGTGGGGTTCGATCCCCCATCAGGGCACACACAGGAGGCAACCAATCGATATTTCTCTCCCTTTCTCTATCCCTAGGATCAATGGGCATGTCCTCCAGTGCGGATTTAAAAAAAAAATTTTTTTTTAAAAAGCAAGTTTCATTGTGGGAAGAAAAAAAAAAAAAAGAGGCTGCCTCTGAGGACCAAGCCAGGCTGGGTGAGCGGAGAACTACAGGGTGATCTTCAGGACAAGTGAGGGACAGGGAAGGAAGCACGTTTCTAACTTGGGGCAATGAGTGACATCACTACCCAAGAGTGAAAAAAAAATAAATGATGTCCTACACTACTTACGTGGTGAAGCCCTGCAATGGCGTCTGCTCCATACTCGCTCTGAATAATTGGCTTCTGATAGGTCCTATACCAGTTCTCAAACTGGGTGGCCAGCTGCAGCTGAATCACCTCCAGGTGCCCGAAGTCATGATACCAGGAAAAGTAACTGTTCACGCAGATGACATCCACATAGGGGGCCTAGGACGAGTGGTAAAGCTTGTTCTCGAACAGAACACTGCGTAATAGTGTTAGGACTCTCATACTCAGGGGGCTCTTCTGGCAGAGCAGGTAAAAGGGGACATAGAAGATGACTTTGATGCTTACATGTATAAGGAACATAGACGAGTGACCTGAACAGAGCAAGTCTATGATCCTGGACTGACACGCCTGACCGGCCACAGCTCTGGGAAGGGCTGAGGCAGAGCAGGCACCCAGCGAGCTGGCCATGTTCCTCTCTAGGGAGCGCTCCTGTTACTGGTCCTCCCTCACCTGGCCCTGGAGAAATGTCCCCAACTGAGGGATAGATGCAGTTTTTCTCCTCACAAAGAATCCTGATTCACCATACCATTCCTGAGCTATTTCTGTGGGGCCATAAAGAGGCTGGAAAATTCCCCCCTAGCAGGGTAGCCAAGGGCAGACTCGGGAGCACTCAAAGTCTAAAGAATGCAGCACTCAGGAGCCAGCAAAGACCAGACAGTCCAATGTACAAGGTGCTCCTAATGGCCCGTGGCCCCGCAACATAAGGCTCACACCATACAGAACATTCCCGTTGACGTGGGGCCCCACATCAGGAGGCTCGGACTGAACAGTGTTCCCTGGAGCTCAAGGCAGGACTAGAGGACAGGGCGCAGGAGGTGAATGGTGTGGGGACCCCTCAGGCTTACTCCCAGGTCTGTGTCATAGCTGGATCTGGTCACAAAAGTCACGGGCCGGGTGGGGTCCAAAGCTTTCGTGTGGGCAATCAGTGTCCTGTGTATGGGGGGCAGAAGACAGGGCTGCTGTCAGGCCAGGAACAGCCCCCTCTCGGCCTCTCCCTCCCATCTACCCCCCTAAAAACACCACTGCTCTCTCTACCTCTAAGTGTTAGTTTAAGCAAACACGTGCCCCTAGTCTGAGATCATGTTCCCTACACCATTCCTTTCCCCTCCCCAAATCCCACAGTCCCCTTCCCTCAAGAGGCCACCGTGCAGGGAAAAGCAGGCACAGAACGGAGGTCCCTGGGCTGGGTACTACCAAAAACTTGGTTCTGAATCCCCGAAAGAACTCTTAAAAACAGGAATGGATGGGGTATAGATTAGGATGGACATTAATTTCACAAATAATTAGGGAAGTGGTGTTAGGAGGCAGGGTGTGTGCAGCAGGTACTAGAGCCTTCGGCAGCTACGTCCCCAGCTTCTTGGAGCAGCAGGAGCAGGGACACTTGCAGATGTTAGAAATGGCAACGACAAGTGGTAGCAGAAAAGAGAGTTCCAGGAGACAGTAACAGGACACATAGCTGACAGTGGCGAGTCAGTGACAGCCGATCAGAAGAAACAGCATTAAGGCTAAATCGCATTAACCAAGGAGGGATGGCAAGAAGAGGCTTCCCGAGGGAGGGACCTGCCAGAGCAGGTCATCCTCAGTCACCATTTAAGCCTATTTTCCTCTACTCTTCCTCACAGCTAGTGACACCCTCTCCCTGTAGTTGCTCTTCTCATTTTAAGGCTATGGTTTCCATAGGCCAGAACAGGTACCCCATACCCTTAAGTCTGAAACCGACGTTCTGAAACAGCCTGTCACCTGCGAGCTTCGAAATCTAGTTGAGCTCCTCCAGCCCAGGCAGCTCTATCCATGTCCTACCCCCATCCCTGCTGCTCCAAATATCATCTCTCTCTGCCTTTCCACCTCTCAAGAAAGCCCACCTGGAACCCCAGGCACTCATTCCTGGGAGGTTACATAGACTCCTTTCACCCTCACAGCAAAAATTCTGTTCACCAGCCCTGGCTCAACACTCCCCTGTGCCCCATGCACTCTGCAGCTGCGTGCTCAGAGCTCTGCGTCTTTTTACCCAGGTGGGTCACTCTTAGAGCCTTCCACAGACACAGCTGCAATCGGTGCGCTCTGTGACACACATGCAGTGTGCCTCAGGGAGTGTTTTGATGGCCTCTTGCAGCAAGTGAATAGCTCTCCTCTGCAGGTCAGGGCTGGAAGAGAAGGAACCTAGGAAAACGCTGGGCTGGGGGGAGGGGAGGAGAGTGGGGGGAGCAGTGCGTCCCACTGCAGAAACACTGCTCTCAAGTTGTGTTTATTTCCACTGCAATGAAGAGGTAGGGGAGTTGTGGGGAGGAAGGAGCTACTGGAACCAGGAAATTTAGATGGCCTAGTCCTGTCCGATAATGTAACTTTAGAATAGTTAGAATATGCATGTCGTTGGAACATCTGTCTGGAATCATATGGGCAGATAAGCTGGTTTTATGAAGCCTAACTCCACTTTACGGATGAAACCAAGGCATCACACATTGGCTTTTTTTGAAGTTTTAACACACACTAAATTTCCCAGGCATGGAGATACCACTAAAACTGAGGGAAGATTATACCTGGTTTTATTTGGAACTCTACCTAGAGCGGTTCAGCATTTTGGAAAAGCACGGCACTGAAGGGAAGGCTGTGTGTGGTATCAGCACGACGGCGCTGCTGCTGGCAGCTTTCAGAGCTGCACCTCTGTGGGATTCCACATCTAGGGCTAAGCATCCGACCCTTTCCCTTGGCCTTCTGGGGAGTGAGGCCTATGCATTTATGATTATTTTATCAATGCTGCTCCTTTATATCACTTAGGCCATGCCACTATTTCTTTTTTTTTTCTTAATTTAAAGTTGTATGTATGAGCAGGTTAGGTTACCTCTGGATTTCATTTCAGATGTGAAAAGCGGGCACTGAGTCTCACTAGGCTGAAATCACAGCTTAGCTGGGTAGGAATCTGATCCCCTGCACTGCCCAGGTCTGGACACACTCTCAGGTCTGCGCTGGGAGCTGGACACTGACTCTTGCACAGCACACACCCACCTCAGGGAGACCTCAGCTCTCCAAAGGCCGCCAGCCATGGCTGAGCCGGGCTGGAGGTGAGGTCTCTCCCCTGACCCAGGCAGGGGCACTCACTTGAAGTAGGAACCTGCAGGTTGCAGGAAGGAAGTGGGCTCATTGGCCACAGACCACATCACAACAGCTGGATGATTCTTGTCCCTGCGCACCAGCTCCTCCATCACCTCCAGGTGGTGCTGCAGAGACACATTGTTGTAGCTCTGGCTATGGGGCGGGAGAGAAAAGGGACCCTGTTATGGCCTGCCAAGGCGGCCGGCTGGGCAGCATAAGCAGTTGGCACTCACACAAGCGTGATGCCTACAGCAGGGCTCTCATCAATGACCACGATCCCATACTGGTCACAGAGCTGCATCACCTCCTCCGCATAGGGGTAGTGGCTGGTACGGAAGGAATTGGCACCAAGCCACAGAAGCAGGTTGAAGTCCTTCACCAGCAGTGGCCAGTCAAAGCCCTTCCCTCGAATCTAGGGGACAGCAGAGTAAAGTGATTCCTGCCCTGTCCCTGTCCGAGATGCATTTCCTTCTAGAGCCGGGCCCATCACCCTCTGTCCAGCCAAGCACAGGCCCAATCTGGCAGCAGTTCTGAGCAGTTTGCTCAACTGCTCTGAGCTGCCCTTACCCGCTTGGGGGTCACAGGGAAGGCAAAGATGAGAAACAGCTCCCGCAGTTACGCAGGAGCCCCAACTCACGTCTGCATCCTCATGTTTGTTGACTCCATGGAAATAGAAAGGTTTCCCATTAATGAGGAACTGGTTCTTTGTGACAGCCACAGTGCGAATCCCCACAGGGAGAGTGTAGAAGTCAGACACAGGCCCAGCTGCCGTCTGTGCGGTCAGCCTCACCTATGAAAGCCAAGCACTGGCGTAAGGCATCCTTGATGGCCCGAGCCCCACACAGCCCCCCTTTAAGCAGGAAGGCCCTTTATAAGCTGCAGCGGCCTATCTTGGGGACAAGCAGAGAGATTGAGAAATTACAGCCTTCTGCCATTAGTAAGGAGGAACAACCTTGCCCCGAGGTCTGCCCCACCAACAGCTGAAAACAATCAGGCTGGGAACACCGCAGTCCAGTTGACTAGGAAGCTCAGAGGACCATGCCGGTCCGCCCACCTGTTCTCACCCGCGCTAGCACTGGGCAGGGCTGCCGGATGGGGGCACAAAGCCTCCCAGAGCCCCAGTCTTAACCACCATTACCTCCAACGAGTACAGGTAGGCAGGGTGTTCGTGCATCAGGTACGGCCACCAGAGGTGGGCATTGGGCACCCGCAGCTGGCCCTGGCCTCCAGTCCCCTGGGCCACGACCTTGCCTTCCTCATCCAGAAGATGCACTTCCAGCTGGAAGTGGTCATTGCCCTGGACAAAAATCTGGTAATACACCAGCCCTGTGGGAGATCAGAGAGATCAAAAACATCAAAGAGAAGGGTGTGACCCGGGTGGTGCCGATGAGAGGACCCTGAAGCCACTATTCCGAGGAGCCCTGTGACACCCCACCAACAATTATTTCTTGAGCTTGATCTGCAGTGAGGACAGATTGAGGGCAGCACAGTGGGGAACAGATACGGAGTCACCATGTATGCTGAGTGATGTGATTTTAGGCAAGCCCCACTTCTCACTGGGCCTTATTTCCTCACAAAATGAGGTCAGACCATATGGACATTTCAGAAGCCCTTGCCAGCTTACACAGACTGGCTTCTAGCTTCTTAAGTGGAAGGGAACCTCTGTGGGTTAAGAGATGCTGGAAGAGCCTTTCTCCTGGGGCATCTTTCTAAATAGGAAACAGCCACCTTGGGCCTGGCTGAGCGGGAGCCCTCACCAGTGTCTTGGTCCACGTTGGTGGTGACGGCGATATCATCAATGTAGGTAGTGGGCGTCGTGTAGAGGAGCACAGGCCGGTGCAGTCCCGCGTAATTGAAGAAGTCAAACTGTGTGTTCTGGACAAAGTAGCCCTTGGGGTACCTAGAGTAGAAGGTTGATGGTCTTGCCCTGAGGTCTTCAACCTCCCCTCTGCTAAGGCCACCCTCTGCCCCTAGTGGGAAGACCACTGGGCAGAATGGGGACTGGGATGGGGAAGCAGGGTGCTGCTCACTTGGAGGTATCCGTCTCGTAGGTGATGGTCCCTGGCGGCAGGGTGTTGGGGGTGAGTGTGTTGTTGATGGCGATGGTAATGCGGCAGGAAGACAGGGGCCCACTCTGGACCAGCTTGCTGATGTCAGCCTCGAATGGAAGATGGCCCCCCTTGTGCTCTGCCACATGGACCCCATTCACCCACTGCAAACACACAGGGGTTTATGGGGAGAGGGCAGCAGGCCAGAGTATAAGGGGCACTGCTGTCTCACGCATTCCCTCACACGGAGATGCCCTACCAGCTGCTATCTGCCTCACCAGCCTGATGGGAGGAATGGAGCCCCAAAGGAGATTAGGCAATCCTCCGAACCCAGGGCACAAACCCCAGTATGGGGCATGACCGTTCCTCCCATCCACCCTAGGAGGCAGGCTGTCGGGTGACAGCCGGCAGCCGGGCACCCCAAGGCACCCCTATGCATGCTCAGCAGCTACACCTGCCCACTCGTCCTGCTTGCTGCTCATTGCACTGACCACAATAGTATAGTAGACGGCACTGCCAATCCTTAGCACCACTCTTGTGTCCAGGTCCTGGGTCCATCGCTGGGGCAGGATCACCTCCCGTTCATACCACACCCAGCCGATAAAGCTACGCAGCTGCTCATTCTGGCCCACGTCATTGAAGCTGGAGGGAACAGGCATGTCCAGGGTAGGGCCCGACTGGGGAAAGAAGGGCCAGGATCAGGACCAGACCGCCTAGAAATCTAAGACCAGGGCCCAGGCAGCCCCTTTTCCTGAAGGCCAGGTCTCACAGCAACCTTGCCTGCAGGGAGGCTTCCAGACCCTGGAATTCTGGGTCACTCCATCATTGTTATTCTTTGCCAGCAACTGACCCTTTATGGAGCTCATTTAATTCTCACATCTCCATGAAGTAGACTTCAGTCACTCATTCAATGTTCAGTGTACAGTGAACACCTACAATGCTGTTCCAGATGCTAGGAATAGAACAGTGAACACGCCTCTGCTATCAGGTGATCAGCTATATTAAAAATGTCGATAGTGAAAGGTGACTATCTTAGGAGTCAGGGAAGGCCTTTGGGGGCCAGACCCATGGGATACTGCCTCAGGACAGGCTGGCAGAATTGGGCGAACCTGAGCCCCGCAGGGAATCCCCTGAACACCTCAGGGAGAGGGCAAGGCAGGAATGAGGCAGATAGTTCAGTGAGCCTGGAAACAGCCTAGCTTTCATAAGGACATCCCGTATGTAAGACATGTGACCTATCAGGAGAGGATTTCCTCTGTCCTTCAGAGCTGCATCCCCAGCAACTGACACAAGCCCTGGCACATAGTAGGAATCCGATAAATATTGGCTGAATGAATGGATTAACTTGCTGATGAGGGATCGACTACTGGGATGGTTTCTGTCCAAGGACTGGCGGGGCCAGAAGTTTTCTCACGGCAACCAGCATGAAGGTCTCTGGGGAAAGATGTGAGCCCAGGGCCACATGTAGCCTGAATGAAAGGAGAAGGATCAGCAGAACTCAGATTCTGACTAAGAGGAAGATGAACAACTGACGCCCCGAGGAGGAAAGCTGGCCACATGCACAGAATGCTTTACTGACGAAACTGTTAAGTGAGGCACATGCCTAGTATCTAGCCCCCACCCACTTCCCTTTTTCCTCCTCTGCTGAATCCTGGGCACCAAAGACCAAAAAGGAGTTTCCAGGAGAGGAGGGCGGCTCGTGGGTACACAGGCCGACGATTCCAGCCCCACTTCTCCGCGGACCTGACCCAAGTCTGGGGGGAGACCTGGAGTGAGGTACCTGGCTGGGTGCTAAGCCCCGATCTCTTCCTGAACCTGGAACTCCAGGTCCTGCCTGCCAGGGCAGAGCTGGTTCCAAGATGTCTAAAGCCTGCCCTCCTCCCGCTGCCCACCCCGCTCAGTGCCGCAGACCCTACTTTGGCTCGGCTTACCCCGCTGGACTGGGTTCGAGTACGGCTTCCCCGCCATCCCCCCCCACCCCCCCACCCCCCCACCCCCCCACTCCCCCGGCTCAGGGAAGGTGGACACCCGCCCTGCAGGCACTCGGTCTCCGAGACGCCCTCCACCCACATCCTCCTTCCGGGTAGGCAGACGCAGACGCCCCCGCCCCCAAGCCCTTCATCTTTAACCACCCCCGAGCCTGCACTGCGAGTGCATGGCTCCCAGACCCCCTACCGGGCTCCTAGGAGCTTCCCTACGCAGTCCTTGTCACCCCTGCTCTTGGAGCCCGCACCTCCCTCAGCGGCGTGCGGTACCATTGCCGCTCGAAGCCCTGGTGCCGACTGTCGGAGAAGTCGGCGCGGAAGCTCCAGAGGCCATTGAGCTCCTTGCGCTCCCGCGACGCACTCTCCCGGGGGTACAACATCCCGCCCTGCAGCGCCAGCCCGCAGCCCCAAAGAAGCGGGCCGAGCAGCACCACCCAGATACCCCACAGGCCTCCAGCCATGGTTTTCGCGGGACTGCCAGCAACCGCTGGCCAGGCGGGGAGTTTTAATAGAAGGCGGGCCGAGGGTAGGGTACTAGGCGGGGCCCGGGGCGGAGCGGGCCCGGGCGCGGGGGGCTGGGGGGGCGGGGCCCGGGGCCGGGCTTGGTGCGACTGGTCTCACCCGAAGCCTCCCGCGCCATTTTAACTTAAGGGGGTGGTGCGACTGAAGCTTTCAGCGAGGCGAGCCGCTGCGGACAACTCACCCTCTCTGCCCACGGGCGGCGACAAGGAAGGCCGGCGGGGAGCCCGACGCTGGGCCTTTAGGGAAGAGGGACTCCGAGCCTCCATCGCCAAAAAGTGGAGGCACCGGCTCTGCGCTGATCCCCCATGGCTCATTGGTTACTGCACGCTTTCCGCCCTCCCTGGACTGCTCCCGCCCCTGGTGGAGGGCTAAGGGCAGAAGGTCAGAGCGAGATCCCGGAAAATGGCCGGATTGTCCCCCTCCCCCACCTCGACCCGTTTCTTCAAAGAAGCCGACCTGAGACACCTTCTCTTGCTTATGTCTGCCAAACACCTAGTGAGCCCCGCCGAAGTCTTTATTTTGTCCGGTGGGATCCCTCTCACAGGAACGGCTGTCCCAAAGGCTAGGCCATAGCCTTGACCCTGGAATTCCTCGTGCGGTCACCTGGGCCCCAAACCCCTGCGCTGAGGGCCAAGGATGCAAGGGTAGGGGGCTTATGGCCCTAGTAACCTAGGAATCTACAACTGTACCTTTTGATAAAATTACGTGGTTTTTTGTATTATTATTTTTCATTTTTGCTCTGATTTCATGCTCATCTAAGCAAGTTTCTGATACCTTGATGCTGGAAACGGTGTCCCCAGAGAGTAAAAATAAGATATATTCTAGGAAGTGCTAAGGTAATAAAGGCTTTTTCCCAAATGCTTACCATATGAAAATAGAAAAAAGGATACAAAAGTATATACAATATGATCCCAACATTGTTATACCCACAGAAATAGAGATAGATAGATATGAAGTATTATTATAGAAGTGATGTAGATAATTCTCATTTTGTTCTTCACACTGTCCTGATTTTTTAAAAATCTATGATAACCTGCATTATTTTTAGAATCAAACCAATAAGTTTTTTTAAACAGCAAACAGGCAAAATAAATAAATAAAGCTCCTATATATTAATAAATTGGCTTTTAATTTACCCACAAGCCTTTATATATTTAGCTAATACAAGCTGACTTTCTACTGAGGAAAGAGTGAAGAAATGGAGTCATTATCTAGTCAAGCTGCTAAAAATTACCAAAGTAGGTTGAGGCATGAGTAAATGACTCTGTTCTTGTTTTAACTAGCCTGGGAACTTAAACTTGAACTATCCAGTCCTGTCAATTCTGGATATACATCAAACCTCCACATAACCCTCTGGTAACCCTCTGAAGAACTAAGGAAAGAATATTCACATATCCAGACCACCTGATACCCAGAATCCAAACCACCAGTCATGTACAGGATTTCTATCACAGACTAATCCAGAGGCTAAGAATGCAGGACTCATTCTTCTTAAGAATATACTTTCTATTATAAGAACACTTAGCTTTTCTTTTTTTTCTTTTTTTTTTTTTTTGTCTGTGGGTCATTTATACGTTTTTTGTCTAGTCCCTTAGTCTTCTTTTCACCATTATGCTAGTTGTGTTTCTGGTTTGCAAACACTAAACCCTTGATAAATCTTTTATCATTTATTTCAAGCCAAAGCCTCCAGAGTCTTTTTTTTTTTTTTAGTTCATTCAACACTAACATCTAATGGGGGTGAGGAGAATAGAGAACTGATAAAATAGTTTCCAAACTTATGAACCTGAAAATCAGACCCTGGTGGGCAAAACCCAATAGCCAGTTTCCTTCCCCACCCATGTGCAGGTTTGTACAAATAATATGAGTCTGAAGATGTAATTATGTGTATTGGCAGCATTGAGAATGGATGAGAGAATGAAGGCAGTAGAGAACAAAAATGTCCCTGGTGAAGGGCTTCTTGCCCCTCCTCAAGATAGAAATCAAGAGAAGCAGTAACCCCTGGCCAGGTAGCTCAGTTGGTTAGAGCGTCATCCTAAGATGCCCTGGGGGCCAAAGTTCAGTCTCCAGTCAGGGCACATACTAGAAGCAACCAGTGAATGCATAAAAATAAGTGGAACAACAAATTAATGTTTCTTTCTTAAAATCAGTAACAATTTTTTTTTTTAAAGAGGAGGTATTTACTAAAAATAAGGTGGAGGGAAAAGAGAAAGAGAGGGAGCTTGATGTATCAAGGGAGCATGCTCTAAGGAGAGTATGGCTCTGACCTGGCTGGTGTGGCTCAGTGGATTGAGTGCTGGCCTGGAAACCAGAGGGTTACTGGTTGGATTCCCAGTCAGGGCACATGCCTGAGTTGTAGGCCAGGTCCCCAGAAGGGGGCGCACGAGAGGCAACCACACACTGATGTTTCCCTCTCTTTCTCCCTCCCTTCCCCTCTCACTAAAAAGAAATAAGATCTTAGGAGAAGAATAAGAATATGTCTCTGGGAAGTGCTGCCAGGGCCTGCCTTTTATAGGGCTGGATTCTTTACGCAGGTGCAGAGCAGAGCTCTTTGGGGAGCGCCTAAACAGAAACTTTAAACTTATCTCGTAGAAACTTACAAAATAACTGAAGAGCATTTCCATTTGCTTAAGAGAAATCATCCTATCTCAAAAGGATGACCCAGTCCTCATCTCCTTGGAGATAAATCCAGACTCCTTAGCATGGTTTGTCATGATCTGACCTGTCCCTGGCTCCTATGTTTCTGCATGACTCTGTACTTTTTTCTCTGACTGGAAGCCTTCCTCCTTGACTAGTTAACTCTTCCTAATCATTCTCCTATTTCAGTACTCAGTTCAGATTTCTTTGTTTTTATTTTTTACATTTAAGATTATTTATGTATTTTTATTAAATACTTATTTTTGTTCTGATCTTATTTCCTTCCTTCTACTCACTTTGTGCTTGTTGTTCTTTTTCAAGTTCCTTTAAGTGTAAAGTTACATTGCGTGTTTGAGCTATTTTCTTTCTTTTTTTAAAATTTTTATTTTTAAATCATGTTTATTCTATTAGAGTTGTCTCAATTTTTCCCTCTTTACCCCCTCCACCCATCCCACCCCCACCCCCTGCTCCCACAGTCAATTCCCACTCTGTTGTCCATGTCCACGGGACCTTCATAGCTGTTCTTTGTTTAGTCCCTTCTCCTTCTTTCCACCATTGTCCTCCGTCCCCATCCCATCTGGTCACTTTCTGTCTGCTCCATGTTTCCATGGCTGTGGTTTATTTTGTTCATTAGTTTATTTTGTTGAATAGATTCCACTTATAGGTGAGATCATGTGGTGTTTGTCTTTCAGAGACGGGCTTATTTCACTTAGCGTAATATTTTCCAGGACCATCCATGTTGTCACAAAAGGTAGGAGTTCCATCTTTCTTTCTTTTTATTTTTAAATGTAGATTTTATTTATTTACTTACTTATTTTAAATGTCAAAATCCATTATAAAATATTTTAAAAAATAAATCCATTATAAAGTCTCAGCAATTAAAACAACATGACACCAGCACAGAAATAATCAAGTAGATCAATTAAATAAAATGAGCATTCTAGAAACACATGTATATATCTGTCTAACAATGTAATATATGATTACATTGATATTTCAAATTAATGGGGAAAATAAGACTTATTCAACAAATAAGGTGCATGGACCACTATTACTTGAAATAAAACAAATATAGAGCCCTATTTCACACATGATACAAAAAATATTCAGGTAAGTTAAAAATCAATATGTAAAATCTAAGGAGGTTTAGGAGAAAATACAAAATAATATTTCTTACCCTGAAGTAAAATATTCAAACCCAGAAGCTATAAAGTAAAATATTGACCATATGACTATATTAAATATTGAAGACTCTATAGTAATATACATATAAAAAAAGTTAAAGGACAAGTAATAAAATAGGAAAGTATTTGCAACACATCTAAAAGAAAGTTAATAGGTTTTTGGGGGGGGTTTAGGGAAAAAATCTACAAACATTTAATCAAAAAAATGGGTAAAGAATACCAAAAAGTCATTCAAAGCTTTTTAAAAATAATAGAAATAGGCAAGAATATACTAAAACAGGTTTTGTTTCAAGAAATAATAAAGGAACAATTAAAATAACATCATTGTCACAATCAGATTAATAAGTATTAAAAATATTGGTAATACCAAGTATTGGTGACTGTGAAAGGAACTGGGTATTCATAGACTCTTTTCATCTTAAAGCAGTCCCTTTAGCATATATTGCAATGCTGGTTTGGTGGAGGTGTAGTCTTTTAGCCTTCTTTTGTCTGGGAAACTCCTTATTTTGCCTTCCATTTTAATTGAGAGCCTTGCTGGGTAGAGCAGTCTTGGTTGCAGGCCTTTGCTTTTCATGACTTGGAAGACTACTTGCCATTTCCTTCTGCCTTGTAATATTTCTGTTGAGAAGTCAGTTGCTAGCCATACCGGGGCTCCCTTATATGTTACTACCTGTTTCTCCCTTGCTTCTTTTAAGATTCTGTTTGTCTGATATTTGCCACTCTAATTATGATGTGTCTTGGAGTGGGCGTCATTGGGTTCTTCTTGAATGGGAACCTGTGTGCTTCCTGGGCTTGTGTGACTTTTTCCCTTCTCAAATTAGGGAAGTTTTCCATCGTTACTTTTTCAAACAGGTTCTCTATCCCTTCCTCCTCTTCTTCTCGTTCTGGTGTCCCTATTATATGGATATTAGTATGTTTCGGGTTGTCCTGCAGTTCCCTAAACGCCTCAGTCTTTTTGAGTCTTTTTTCATTTTCCTGCTCTTTCTGGGAGCTTTTTTCTACCTTATCCTCCAGCTCACTGATTCAATCCTCAGCTTCATCTAGCCTGTTTTTGATTCTTTCTATTGTGCTCTCCAATTCAGAAACTGTATTCTTCATGTCTTCTTGTCTCTTATTGACAGTTTATATGTCCTATTTCATGGTGATATAGTTTGCAGTAAATTCCTTGTAATTTCCCTGTAGGTTTTTGTAATTCTCTCTGAGCTCACTGAGCTCATTGAGCTTCCTTAGAACCATTGTTTAGAACTCAGTATCTGCTGGTTTACTTGTCTCTCTTTCATTTCATTCTCTTTCTGGGGATTCCTCCTTTCCCTTTGACTGGAGGGTGTTTCTTTGTCTTCCCATTATTTGTGAGACTCTTCTTTTTTGCTTCTGCTTCTTCAATTGATCTGTGTTGATTTCCTGACTTTGTGGTGTGAACTTCTATGGTAGGAGACTGCTGCTTTTACTTTCTGGATCTGCCTCTAATACTCTCAGGTGTTGACCCCATCTGACCTTAGGCAGTCTGTTCGAGACTTCCAGGAATCTACTCTCTGCGGCTGTCTCCTTCTGCTGTTAACCCTTAAATCTTTTTTAATTGTTATTCTATTACAGTTGTTGCAATTTCTCACCCTTTGCCCTCCTCCACCCATGCCACTCCCTGCTCCCACAATCAGTTCCCATGATTTTGTCCATGTCCATAGGTCATTCATACACGTTTTTTGTGTAGTCCCTTAGCCTTCTTTCCACCGTTATCCCCCTCCCTCCATCCCCTCTGGTCACTTTCAGTCTGTTCCATGTTTCCATGCCTGTGGTTCTGTTTTTTTATTTTTTAATTTTTATTTTTTATTTCTTAATTTATTTATTTACTATTTAAATACATTTGTCTCTGCCTCCCCCCAACCTCTTTCCCTTGCCCCCTCCCACCTTCCCTCCCTCAGCTCTTCCCCTTTGGTTTCGTCCATGAGTCCTTGCTATATGTTCCTTGACTTTCCCCTTCCCTTCCCTTTCCCTGCCCCACCCTTCTCTCTTGTCTCTGTTGATTTCTTTTCCTTTCAGTGTTGCTGGTCATATTTTCCTTGCATCTTTGCATTGTTGGTTAGGTTCCGCTTATAGGTGAGATCATATGGTATTTGTCTTTCGCCCCCTGGCTTATTTCGCTTAGCATGATGCTCTCCAGTTCCATCCATGCTGTTGCAAAGTTTAGTACTTCTTTTTTTCTTTCTGCTGCGTAGTACTCCATTGTGTATATGTACCATAATTTTTTGATCCAATCATCTACTAATGGGCATTTAGGTTGCTTCCAAGACTTGGCTATTGTAAATTGTGCTGCTATGAACATTGGGGTGCATGGGTTCTTTTGTATTGGCGTTTTGGTGTTCTCAGGGTATAGTCCCAGCAGGGGAATCGCTGGATCAAAAGGCAGTTCCATTTTGTTTGTTAATTTATTTTGTTCATTAGATTCCTCTTATAGGTGAATCATATGGTATTTGTTTTTCACCAACTGGCTTATTTTACCTGGCATAATATTCTCCAGTTCCATTCATGCTGTTGCAAAAGGTAGGAGTTCTTTCTTTCTATTGCATAGTATTCCACTGAGTAAATGTACCACCATTTTTTTTGATCCATGCATTTACTGACGGGCACTTAGGTTACTTCCAGCACTTGGCTATTGTAAAGAGCACCACTATGAACATAGGGGTGCATAAGTTCTTTTGAATTGGTGATTCAGGATTCTTAGGGTATATTCCCTGCAGTGGAATCGCTGGGTCAAAAGGCAGTTCCATTTGTCATTTTTAAAAGAAATTTCAGACATTTTTATCTTTACATTCCTTGGCCTCCCAATCACTCCCCCCCTACCCACACACTCTGGATTTGAAACAGGATAGTAAGAAGCTAGGAAAATTCCTTGGCAAGTGGCATAGGGAAACTGAGACAGACAGCTTAACACAATGGCCAAGCAATTTACAGCCAGGTGTACATGGTCACCAGGGAGGAAGGCCTGGCAGGAGCAAAACTGGGACATCAAGGACCTCTCCCCCAGTGTAACCTCTTTCCCCACTTGCCTTTCCTACCTGTAGATAACATCCAGGCCCGGAAAAGCAGCAAAACCGGGTGGGTAACCAGAACCAATTGCAATGACTAAAGACTTCCTGCCCTGTCACCAATCAGTGAAGACCACAACCCAGAAAGGGCACACCTGGTGAACCTATGAATATTCTACTGAAGCCCTTCCCTGAGAAATTCCCTAAGATTCCCACCTGCAAGAAAGAGGTAAAAGCCTCAAAACGAAGGACCCAGTGCTTGCGCTTTCCCTCTGGGGAGCAGCTCACCCCATTCCCTTTCCCTTCTCCTTCCCCAACTTCCTTCCCCACAGACACTTGTCTCCTAAACTCAGGCAATGAGCAGCGGGCAGCTTGTCCCAAGCTAATCCTCTGAACCTGTCCCCAAAACCTCCTTTCCTATGACTTCCCAGTGCGCTAAGGCAGCCCAGCCAGGGCCTCCTGTTGCTTCTTCTGTGCTAAGCCCTTCCTTGTTTCACTGCCACAGCTTTAATAAATGTATCCTCATAATCACCTGAACTCGTGTTGTGAAATCTTTCCTACATGAAGTCAAAAACTCATACACTAGAGCTGGCCCTAAGCAGACCCACTGAAGGCCAGGCCCCTGTCTGCTAAGAAATTCACTGAGGAATTTGGCCCTTGGTTCAGGTCCCTTCTCCATCCCATTTCATGTCCCTGTGAATAGCCTTCCTGTACTGAGCCACATTGTAGATTCTTTTGTTTTTTGAAACCCACTACTTCTGAGATTTCTCCCAGCCGACTATTGTAATGGGGTCCAGAACTTGGGGTGTCCAAGAAAATTATGGGATACTCCCCACCCGCACCAGGCAGGCTGCCGTGGGGAATGGGACACATGGAGCACGGCCACTGAGAGTTATTTTACATGTCAGTAACAGCAGGGTAGCTTCGTACCTGAGGTGCAAAAACAGTTATTTTGCAAATCAGCAAGGCTAGCCAGGAAGGTATGCACATTAACCCAGGATGTAACTGGGAGGCGGCTCCCCTGGTTACAGTGCCTGCATGAGAGCTTGAAGATGGTTGGTTTGTTCCATGGCCCTGGGCCATGTCTGCTGGGACTAACCATGGCAGCCAAGAAAGGCAGAGAATATGGGAGTGTTGGCAGGTGTAGCCAATTGTGGGAGGAATCGGAAATGGGGTTACAGCGGAAAATTTGCACCAGGATTTAAACCCAGGCACAGCAGCCATGCTGGGGCCTTAACCACGCGGTTTTGTGAGCAGAGAGGGGCTTCCCTTGACCATGAGGCTTAGGGAAGGAAGGCAAGATGTAGCAGCCATGCAGAGCTCTCTCTTAATGGTTTGAAACGATGGACACAGGAGAACAACGCAAGATCATGTGGAAAGGAAAGCAGTGAAAGGACTCTTGTTAGTGGGCCATGAGGGGGTGCCACATGGTTTCGAATTAAGAACTGGAGATCGCAGCGACACAACGGGTGGCGGTGGGAACTGCGGGAGGCCTGCCCGGCCAAGCACAGGCTACTGGGAGGAACCAGGAGTCTAGCCGAGCTATGGACTTCAATTTCTTTTCCTGAGATACAGTACCCTTGACTGGCCTGACTGGGCAAAGGGGGAAGGTAGGAGTGTGGGTGTTTTAAATGGACGTTGAAATTTAACGGCAACATTCCGCCATTACTCTGAACCTGATTAACTTTTGAATAAATAGTTCCTTTCCTTTTTACCAAACTCTGGTATTGAGAGCCATAATGCCTAAGGGTAGCAGGCAAACAACATAGAAGAGAGGGACCCAAGGGAGGGGGCATTGTTTCTGTTATAGTATCTGGACCCCCCAAAATGGGTCAAATTCCGTAACATCATCTCCTATTTTCACCATCCCCACTTACTCTAAACTTTCTCCTTTACCAGACCAAAGCTACGTTTCTTCTACCCTCCCTATTTTTTCTAAATAGAGCAGTTCTCTCCTGGTTTTTTAGCCTGGAAGCCCTCCTTACATCAACACCCTGTATCTCCCTGTGGTCACACACCACTCCAGAGCTTTTCTTGTGGAGGATCTCCAGCCCTGCCTTCCCTTTTCTCTTCCTCTCTTGTTGCTAGTGGCTGCATCACCCTTGGGGAATCTTCTCCCCAGTTCCCAAGCATAATCTGGGAATGAAACCAGCTTCCTCTTGTTGCTCACATAAAAAGATGCACGAACTCTTTTCTCAGGAATCACCTGCCAGTAACTGCAGATGAAAGGGGAAACCAAGCTAACAGATATGGGGAAGTTACTAAGTTCCAACTCTCATAGGCACTGGTCTATAATTACGTCTTTATTGCAAGGCTTTCCTCCAAATATCTGTCAGAGGGCTTGAATGAGCCAGCAAACGATGTGTCCCCTCCCATCGCCAGTGAACAGTTTGAAAGTCTGAAGTGGTGTTAAGGGACTAATTCCTCCCTGACCTGGAATAAGACCCTCAGGCTATTTCCTTCCTGTCTGCAAACTACTAAATCCAGCCCTTTTCATCTTCATTCTAGTTTATCTCAACAAGGCAATTGACTCACAAACTCCTAAAACTCAACAACATACCAATAAAGCCCATGGCAAGACCTACAAAGCCTGTCCGGAAAAAGCCCAGCCATTGTTATTATAATGAGAATGGTTTGCCCAACATTGATGTAACCTGGCAGCCATGGAGAGTGGACTGGAATGAGCATGTGTGAGCAATGAAAATGTCACTGTACTAGTCGGTGGAGGTGGTAGACGCTATTGAGTGAGCATGTGTACTGCTCACATTCAAAATGACTCAGCAAGTAGAGTAACAAATCTGCATCAGATTTTGTGTTAAGCTTGAACATCTTCCACAGAAACTATTGAGATGATTCAGAAGCCACAGCTATGGGCAACTGGTGATTGGCAGCTTCATCACGACAACATGCCCACTCATGCGTCACATTGCATGCAGAGTTTTTTTGGCAAAACATCAAATCTCCCTGGTGACTCAGCTCCCCTATGATCCAGATTTGGTGGCTCTGCAGTTTCTGGCTTTTCCCAAAACTAAAATTACCTGTGAAAGGGAAGAGATTTTCAGACCATAATAGTAAAGATTCAGGAAAATACAACAGGGCAGCTGATGGTGATTAGAACTCTGTAAGGTCCCAAGGTGTCTACTTTGAAGGGGACTGAGGTGTTGTTGTCCTATGTACAATGTGTCTCATATATTGTATTTTCTTCAATAAGTGTCTCTATTTTTGGTAGCACGTGGCTGGATACTTTCTGGACAGACCGTCTCTGTTTCCTGGCTGCCCTTCACTCCATCCATGAGATTCTGGAGGACTGGCCAGAGGACCAGTCAGGATGTACCCAAGAGAGACCCTGAGATTTCAGAATGGTTGGCGACCAGGAGAGGAAGACAAACTCATGTGTAGAGCTGACTTGAGTAAAACATTTCTCCTCAAGCATTCCCTCCAGGACAAACGTGAGTTCCCTGCAGAGGTTGGTTAATCTTAAAGCTGAAAGTCTAAACGTGCCAGAACTCCTTCTAAGGCTCTAAAAGGAGTGCCATCAATTGTTCACCTGGTGTAGTACATATCTCAGGTGCCCTGTGTCCCAGCAACCTCCGATTTCAGCAGAGCTAAATTCCCTGAAAGCTCAATGACCAATGAGCAGTTCCCTGAGAACTCAGGCTCACCTCAAACATAGGCTCCCCCGCATGCCCAGCACCCCCTTCTCTCCTGTTTTATGATCAGGGAGAAGCGCTCTTCCTGACGTGATGAGCCTGATTCAGTTCCCATTGTAAGGCGGTGTCTCTGCAGCTGTCGCCCTTGGTCCCCACTGACCTTCGTTTTGTCCAGGTTGCAGCCTGTTAAGGCTGACCCCCCTGAGCAAACGAACATTGAAGCCCAGGCATGGCCTCTCAGGGACCGAGCGAACCTGCTGGTCAGAGACCGCCCGGGTAGGACGGGGGACCCCGCCTGCTGTCCCTGCTCCCCGGTCACACACACTGCAAGACTGCCGTGCGCAGGCTACAGATCGACTCTGTTGGAATAAACGCTTTCTCTCATGGTCCAGGAAAAAAAAAAAAAAAAGCATCCCATCCCAAGCAGGCTCTAAATTACCAAATTTTGCTTCTTCAATGGAGCTGAGAATTGGGGGTGAAATGGGTATTAATAACTTAGAGACACTTCATCCAAAGGACACAAGTGCCATCAGAGCAGTGGCAACTCTGGGAAGACATGCACAGTTGAAGTGTGACCTTGATAATACAATTTGATATTGGCTTTTCCTTCTCTGCCTTACTCCTCCTGCTACCTTATTCCTGGGATCACTTCCCAAATAAATGCCTGTATCTAAAAGGTATTTGTCTTAGGTTCTGCATTTGGGAAAACCCATCCGAAAGTGTCTCTAGAAAGCCACCCCTCAGGATGAGACTCTGGAATTAGACAACCTTTCTGGCCCTTCAGAAACATGGACCTGATTATCGCTCTAGTAAGTAGAACCTGCTTAGTAGTAACCCTCTAGTAAGTAGAACCCTGGGGTGCTGTAGCATTGCAATTACTAAGACTATTACCTCTTATGAATTAAGATAAAGTATAGGTATAAGGAGAAACGCTAAGCCATGCAATAGAACTTGAATAAAATGTGAGTAAAGGTAATTTGAAGGATTATGGAGTTAGTCACTTTTGCTAAGTGCCCAGAGAAACTTGAAGAAAAATGATGACAGGCTCCATTCAGCCAACTAACAATGTAGAGCATGGTGTGAGAGCCAGAAGACTCCTTGGCACTGTTTGTTTGTTTGTTTTTTAAACCAGAATACTTACTGAGTGACTAATTGTTGAAATCCTTATGATGAACTTGATCCTGCAACAGCCGCCCTGTTAGGTTTAGGTGTTGTCCCTACATGAAATCCATTCCTGAATCTGTGGCATACAATTTTTAGGTGCTTCATTTGACCAGTCCCAGTGATATTTCATCTTTTAGCCTTGGCACTCTAGTTATACTTTCTCTGCCACTTGGCAAGGTGGATGCACTTGCACGGGTAGACTTCGGAAGGTGATGGGCCTTAGAGCCACAGCAGCAGCACAACATGTGTGTCCTATCATACTGCTTTCCGAGTGATGATGTTGCCTATTTCATTTTGCTTCTGCGGCTGAGACCAAATAGCTCCTTGGTGTGTTTGAAGAGATCTTCATCTCTTGTAGTTGTAGGAGGACTATATTGGAAATTGGGCCCAGTATTTAAGTATAAAGCTGCCAGAGCTGCTGGAGTCAGGGGCCTGGGATCTGGGATGTTGACATTTGGATGGTTCTACCTGAAACCTTGAACTCCCAGATTTACCTGAATCCTCTGATCACTTAAAGAAACCCTACCCCACTGAAAGTAGCCTCCTTTTGACAGAAACTGTTAGAATGCACTGGGACATGGACCTAAGTCACACCTATGCTGGAACAAAGAAGGTATAGTCACTGGCTAAATACCCAACCGTGAGATTCCCCATTTCAGAAGCAACTGAGGCATAGCTGCTAGCAACCTGAGGGAAACCTGTTGAATCCTCA